ATCTGTCCCTCTGTCCCCACATCTGTCCTTCTGTCCCCACATCTGTCCTTCTGTCCCCTCGTCCATCCCTCTGTCCTCTCCTCTGTCCCTCTGTCCATCTCTCTGTCCCCATATCTGCTCCTCTGTCCCCTCCCCCTCCCCTCATCTCTCTTTTCCCTCTTTTTTCCCCCCCTTTTGGCCTCTGTTTTCCTTCCCACCTTCTTTGGCATCTTCCCGATGATCTCTGCCCGTCCGTGTGCTTGGCGTGTGCTTGGCGTGTGCTTGGCGTGTGCTTGGCGTGTGCGCGGGGCCCGCAGGTGGGGAAGCCCTCTGTCCTCTCCTCTGTCCTTCTGTCCCCACATCTGTCCTTCTGTCCCCTCGTCCATCCCTCTGTCCCCTCCTCTGTCCCTCTGTCGTACCGTACCGTCACGCGTGCTTGGCGTGTGCGTGGCACGTGCCAGCTGGACAACACGCTTTGGGCCACCCCCTTTCACGTGGAGTCCCGCAGCCAACAGGGACACGCGTGTGCGTGGCGCGGAGTGCGCAGTCTGTGCGTGCCTGGCGCGTGCCACACGCGTGTGCTTGGCGTGTGCTTAGCGTGCACCACCCACATATCCCTGGAAAGTGCCACCTGCATGTCCTTGGCATGTCCTCCCCCCCTTTTCCTGTCCGTGTGTCATGTCTTTGGCGTGTCCTTGGCGTGGGGCTGGGCCATCACCAGCCGCGTGTCCTTGGCGTGTGCTTGGCGTGTGCAGGCGGCGCTGGTGGAGAAGCGGATCCTGGCGCGGGTGCACAGTCGCTTCATCGTCTCGCTGGCCTGCGCCTTCCAGACCAAGACCGACCTCTGCCTCGTCATGACCATCATGAACGGCGGCGACCTGCGGTAAGCGTGTGCTTGGCGTGTGCCACGCGTGTTGCTGCTGGAGGCGCCTCCCAGCAGCCTGTCTGGCATGTCCTTAGCGTGTCCTTAGCATGTCCAGGCGCCATACGCATGCAACGCGGACGAGGCCAACCCTGGGTTCTCTGTACCACGTCCCCAGCGTGTCCCTAGCTACTGGCGTGTCCTTAGCGTGTCCTTAGCATGTGGAGGTGCCGCACATGCAACGGGGATGAAGTCAACCCACCTTCCCCAAGCCGTGTCCCCGGGCGCTGGCGTGTCCCCCCGAGTGCTGCCGTGTCCCCCCGTGCCCTGGCGCGTGCTTGGCGTGTGCTTAGCGTGTGCGTGGCGTGTCAGGTACCACATCTACAACGTGGACGAGGAGAACCCCGGGTTCCTCGAGCCGCGGGCCGGGTTT